TATTTTGGATATCTTTAAAAAAAAAGAAAAAACTCACATCCCTGGACGTCCGCCTTGCCTGCCTAGGCTCCTGCCCAGGTACATCCGCCTAGAACGGGCTGCCTAGGCCTAAGCGTGCGGTGCATAGGGTGGCGCCTAGGCTCCGGGCGGACCATTTTTTCAAACATTGCCAGGGTCCCCAACTAGCCAATCTGAAGCATTGTCCATGTCTTCTGAAGCGACGAGATCCTTCTTTGGCTGGTTTTTCTTCTCCTTGAGCCTTTGATTCTTGCTAGCATAAACCAAGTCATTGAGCTTCCTTTGCTCAAGCCTATTTCTTCTCTTTGTATGTACCTATAAGGAAAAATGCATAAGTACTAGACTACTATGATCTTCTTATCTTCTATGAATGTATATTAGAAAGATGAACTTGTAAATGAGAAAAGCATATAAATTGAAAAATACCATCTCAAACAAACTCCAATTGCGCTCACAATCAGAAGAGGTAGTTGTCAAACTCAAGATCCGAATAGCCATCTTCTGGAGGTGTGGAGCTCTACTCCCATGTTGTCTCCACTATTGGGCTGCAATATGTGGACAACCTTTATAATTAATTTAAGTATTTAACATTATCATACATATTTTTAAGAACCTAAAATTGAAAGAAAATTAGAAAACTATGAAACAAAAGTACACAAGATCTTATTTGGTTCGTCTTTGTTTCTCTATCTTAGAGCCATGTCTTTCTCGAATGACATCAAAGCACACTTGTAAGAAATGCGCTCTTCTGTTGATATCTTATCTTGGATATGTGGATCGGGAACTAATCTCTCAAGGCACTCATTAAAACCATCCATAATTGTACCTTTTGCCTCAATATCTATATCTGCCTAAAACAATTTGGGGTTCAAGTAGTACCTTGCTGCATGCAATGGTCTATAGAGCTGCCTTTCCCACTTGACATTTATAATCTCCCAAATTGGGCCATACTTGTCCTCATCATTGCCCAAATTCTTTGCAATATCATTCTTAGCCCTTCCAAGTGCATCAGATATAAAGCCCATGGAGGGCTTATCTTATCAACATCATCTTCCAAGTGGAAGGCCTTCACCAAGGGAAAAAATACTATTATCGCATGCTTTACCCCACGTCAAAAATATTTAGAAAGAACAATATCTTGTGCCTTGTTTCCCTTGACATCTCTTGACCACTTACACCTACTCCACTCTTCTGAAGCAAACGTAGACCTCAATAGGATCCTACTGCTATACATGTCTTTAGATTAAGGTAGGCAGTGGCAAATCTAGTGACCCCGGGCCTCACTTGATCTCTCTTCTTTGTAAACTTGCGCATCATGCTAAATGCAATTGCGTGAATGTATATGAAGACTGTAACCTCCTTAGCCTTAGAAAGAACTCCTTTAATAGTAGCCAACTCACTAATAGCCTCAAGAATAAGATCTACGCAATGTGCAGTGCAAGCAGTCCAAAATATGCGAGGCCTCTGCTGTTGAAGCAAATGACTTGTAGCTAGATTGGGATCAGCATTATCTGTGGTCACTTGAATTACAAGTTCCTCCCCAATCTCCTCAATGCCCTTATCAATGAAAGAAAATATATAATAAGCATCATAAATGTCATCAAAAGCATCAATGCATCGCAAAAAAACTGTACGCAAGGGACAATTTACCAACAAATTCATCTTACTATCATTCTTCATATCAGTCATTAAAAAAACCCCACATTTAGCTCTTCCCTCATTATGGGTCTTGAGATATTCCTTAGTAACTTGAACTTCTTTCTTCCGTAGTGGCTCATCAATCTCATATAGAGTTGGGCTTTTCAAACCTGGCCTAAATTGCCCAGTTGCTTCCAACATTATATGGAAGCTACTCAAGCGAGTGGTGTTAAAAGAAATGCCCGCATGGTAAAACCATCGAGCAATATACTGAATCACCCGGCCTCTGTCTTCCTTCTTAAATCTATTACTGAATCACCCGGCCTTTGTCTTCCTTCTTAAATCTATTTTCAAGAGTCACCTGTTTTTTTCCCTTTTCCCTTCCCATTCTCAATTATTGTCTCGGGGCTAGGTGTAAAAAAAACTATCGATAGACCCTCTCATACAAGCCTTCTTAGACCCCAAAGCCCTCTTACCCTTAGAGCTCTAAGTACCAACCATGGCTACCTCTTCTTCGCCCTCTTCATCATTTTTACTGTCAATATCATCATAAAAAACATGGACCCCTACCTTTAATTCTGCCATATCCTTTTCTTTTAATTTTTTTTATTCCTTTCACCTTAAATGTACTCCGAAATTTCTTTCTTTACAGGCTATGAGACTTTCATATACAGAGCAACATCACCTCTAATATCGACAAGATGTTTATTAAATCTATTTATGACGGCATTAGAAACATGACCACATAAATTGCATATAGTCTTATTCTTATCATTCTTATCCAGGCTAACACAATACTTCCATCCCGGATCCTCACCCCTAGTAGACCCCGTAGAAATAAAACTCAAATAAAGATTACAAACTGACCTTTTTTGCTCAATCTCTGGTCTTCGATGTTTGTTAGCTCAAATAAAGATTACAAACTGACCTTTTCTACCAAATCTCTAGTCTTCGATGTTTGTTAGCTCGATTGAGCTACTAATCAACTCAAAAGTTATCTAATACCTCCATTAGCACCCTAAAAATAATTTCAATCCACAAAAAATACTTTCGATTCTCAGAAATACGTTTAGCATAGAGGCTGAGGGTGTCTTTTTCACTTTGGGGGTTAAAATAACTCCCATCATATATTTATACTATCTTGGGGGTCAAAATGACCCCCTTTGCCCTTGTGGGCGATTTAAAAAAATGAAAAAGGGACTACGACCCTGGGCACCCATACATCCGCCTGGGTTTGGGCTTGTGGTGGTTATGGTCTAGGGTGCCTAGGTGCAGTCGGACCGTTTTTTAAAACACTGGAATAGTGTAAGCCCAACGGCCCAGATTGAATCTAGGGCGATTTGACGAGCATATGACCTCATTTCGTAATATAATTTTAATATTTTTTACAAATCCAAATCATATGAAATTTGGAGTGTCCATTCTTCTCAGCAAGGTACACCTAATAAAAATATCAAAATAATAATTCTCAAAAAATAAATTGATCAAAATACCCTTGAAAGGTATATACTTAGAGCTATTACTTTGCAAGTATCTTGGTTTTAACTGATCAAAACCCCAGTCTTTATAAGACATGATGTTTAATATTGTCATTTTTTAATATGCCAACTCATTATTGTTTCTATAATGGTGCTTTATATATACTGACTTTGTTTCAGTCAGTATTTTTTCAAAATACTCCCTATCTTTCCCTCCCATATAAAGGTGCATGTGATCTTTTAGGCATATCTCAACCACTGTTCTTGGCATTTGAGGCACATGATCTTCTTCTATTATTATCAGAGGAATAACATACGTCTCTATGTAAAGGGTTCTTTGTGATGGTGGAATGGGTGGACTTTGAGTCTCTGCCATTATTCTGGATATATTATCTTGTTTTGGTGGAGTCCTAGTTAAGGACAATGAAGAAGTGGCTCCTTTAGCCAGTGTTTTATTCGGACTCTGGATTAGTGCTTTATCTAGATTTTGGATAGTGAAAAATTAGAAAACTCTAGAATTCAAAAAGAGATAAAGGATTTCCAGCACAAGATTGAAAAATAAGTTTGTGCATAAATACCCCCGAAAGTTTACAGGGGTATTATGATCAATTTATATTTTTCAAATTATTTTTTTCATATTTTTATTAGGTGCGCATCATTAAGATGTACACACGCTTCAAATTTCAAGTAATTTGGATTTGTAGAAAAAAAAATAAAAATTGAATCACTACCAGACAACTGTGACCGTGCGATGAAGTTTTGATGATGATGAGGGTAGGCGAAATCACTGTTCATTTTCGCCTATAGGTGTTGGGAAGAGTT